CGGGCAGCAGCTCCGCGGCCTTCCAGGGAGCGGCGAGGGCCGGGCAGCGCCGAGCAGGGAGCGGAACAGAAACTGGGAGCCACGCACCGCCGGGATTCGGTGCCGGTTCGGATCGCTGCGAGAAGGAACATCGGGATGGAATCAGATTTTGGGGGCTAGAGCACAACAAACGTGCTGGCCTCGGGATTGAGATGTTTGGCATCTGATTATATGGGCTGACTGCATTAGGAGTTGATCTCTTATACACAGGGAAAAAAAAATAGCAGAGCTCTAGACAGCTATTCATCAGGTCCTACTTAGCAGGAGGCTGTTAAAGCTTCTGGCTGAGGACTTTAAATCATCAGTGTTAATGACTGTAACAGCCAATTTACAGAACCGATTCCAAGAGCCTATCTAAATATTAAAAACTTGGCAAATTATTCAAATAGACATTCAGGAGAGCCAAAAAAACGTCTTGTGCGTATGGATTTTTCCAGTTAACGGATAAAACAGTTTCCTCTGTGCTGCTTAATGTGAGAAGATTGTTACAGTGTTGATTTGAGAGTCATTTAAAAATATTTTGCCAACAGGCAGTACAATAATGGACCAAAAATAAAATCCCTCTAAGTATGTCTTAACTGCAGAACACCGAGCTCCCGTCTCCCCTATGATTGCATTCCTCAGTGAAATACAGAATAACAGAAACAGCTCTTCAACAAAACAAGAGTTTTGTTATTAAACAGTAAGGTCAGTTTTGGGACTCTTAAAAGTCAGAGTGTATTGAATGAAAGAGACTGTGTCAATATTAAAAACTCATACATTCAAAGAGCACAATGGAGACAGGCGATACAACAGACAAACACAAATACAAAGACACTTAAAAGCTGGGAAAAGAGAGACCAAAGAGGTTGTTCAAGGTCTACTCCATTCATAAAAATATAAACTCTCTGAGAGTTTATAGGTCTCAGTGATAGAGGCCAAAATACCAGCTAACAGCTTTCACAGAATGCACCATCACCCCAGATGAACAGCATCTGGCCTCAGCATACATACGGGAAAACACTAATGTCAGTCATGTTCCTTTCCCTGCAAAAATGTCCTGGGACAAAGCAATTGGTTAGCTCAGAAAAAAATGGAAGTACCAATGTTCAGAAAAAATTCCAGCTCTGACAAGTCATTCTAGAAAAGCAATAGAAGAGTACAAAAATTATGGCATGAAACAATTCTGGGATGCAGACCACAAAATTAAGTTTACTCTTCTATCAAGAGAAGATGGCTACTTATATGGGATGATTCTCATGCACCAAATAATTTATCAAGCTGAGGAGTCTGAGGCACGAGGGGTTTAAAGAGGTTTTACTTCATATATAGGTTAACCAACAGCTGGGAAAATGAGGAAGTAGATATGGAAATTCAGTCATAATGCAAACTACACATTTGAATTAACAAAAAATGGAACTGTGAATAAATACTTGTGGTTTTTGTTTCGAGCTAGGATTAACAATAAACTTTCATTCTGAACACAGGAAGCAAAATTTATTTCTGAAACAGGCAAGTTCAAACATTCCAAAATCTTCAAAAAAGATTTGCTTCCTTGGGTAAAATATTTCAAAGTGATTCCTGCATTTTCCACGTATCAAAATTCTGATTAACAGAAAGGTAAGTCGACACCATAACACAGATTCTCATGACTACATCTGCCCATATTTAACGGTAGCCAGTATAAAAACTTAAAGCCTAAACTGGTAACTAGAAATGTTACACCAAAACCACTGTTCTGACAGAACATGGCATCATTGCCCTTACTTTATTTTCTTGTTTGTGTACAAATTAGAAGCTTTAGCTTAAAGAGTAAAAATTAATCCTGATTTTTTTCCTACTGGTTCCAAAGAAGTAACCTTTATTTCACACCGAGTATCGTAACAAGCAGACGTACACTGCCTGCTCAACTGCATTACAGCAATACCCCTAAACTATAACCAATGCCAAAAATCAACCCTCATACCTTAAATTACCTTTAATTGTAAGGAGTTTTATCTAGACTTACCATATAAGCAATATCACACCAAGAGCCCTGGCTGCTGTTTTGGAAATTAAGTACTGCTGTGTTACATTTGAAGGAGGAGAGTTAGGGGTTTCTGTGAAAATCAGTCTCATTAAACAGGGGAATGAGCTTAGTACCTCAAAAAGAGCACAGGAACAGTTTTGTTCAGATTAGCAACTGAATACATTTATGCTTTTGGAACTTGTAAAAACCTGTGAAGGAACTGTCACTTACTCTGTGTGGCCCTGAAAGACATTCACAGAATGGATAGAAGGATCTCTGAAATCCCACAGACGGAAGGTTGTATCGCGTGATGATGTCACCACAAGACGCTGGGTGGGATGTGTACAACAATGTGTTAGCTCTTGGTCATGCCCTACAAGCACAGATGAGAACATGTAAGGTAATGAAAATAAGACTTTTCATTTCCACATACACTTGGAATGAAATGCTGATGATTTTTTTTTCTTTTTTCCCCAAACAGTAAAAGAATAATAATAATAATAATAATCATTCTGAAGTCTAATGTTACTACTGCTGTAAAAGTTTAGAACTATATTTAAAGGCAAAAAAACCCACTACTCACTTCACATGACTATTAAGTAGGGATAGGTTATTGCTACTTAATAAGTCATGAACACGGCAAAAGCATTTTGCAAGAACTAAAATGTGGCTACATTCAGTTTAAAAACAACTACTTCACAAGCTTAAGAGAACACAAATTCATGCTCAGAAAATTAACAAGGTTGGGATTTTAGAAACATTACAATATTGAGCAGCAGCTCAAGTCTTGTACATGCTCAAATCCTACTCCAGAGAAACAATCTATTATTCCCAATGTTTCGGTATCTACAAGTAATCCCACATATAAAAACAAACCACCAATTTATCTTTTTATGAGTGAGCAAGTACCTGTAAGAGAATGGACAAGTTCAGAAGTCTCTACATCATACAGATTGGCTGTCCTGTCCCATGACGCTGTCACAGCTTGCTTTCCCCCAACAAGCCAGTCGGCTGCTATGACCACTCCTTGATGGCTTTTGAGTGAAGTTAATGGGGCTCGGACAGTGGGACAATCACTAGAACCATCTCCATCTCCATCAGGTTCATCTTTATCTGAGAACTCAACTTCATCTTCTCCAGACATTTGCTACAGAATGCAAGAGAAAAAAAGATTTAGAATAAATGGGAAGGAATGTCTCTGAAGTTACATTTTACAGTGTAAATGCTTCCCAATCCCCTTAATGTGAATGTGGGTAATTTAAGTCTGTAGAATCTATTCAGGTATTCACTATCAAAAACCTAGTTGAGGGAATAATACCAGTGAGATAAATGCAGTTTTAATAACTACTTCATTTTAAAAATCTCTTTCAAACTGTTTAGCTCTTAATATCTGTCCCCTTTACTATCCTGCAAGTCTTTTATACTCCCCTTACTGTATTACCCTTGAGTTTCACTGCAGCACATGTATTAAAGGACTCTTTTTTCTTTAAAGAAAGGAAGCATCAAACAGGACACTGACTATTTTAATCTTTGGGAAGGCAATAATTTACAGCCATATTTTTATGCATTAGAATCAAAATCATGACATCAATATTTGTCTGCTGGTCCATACACAGTCATCATGCAGTGCTGATGTAAACTGGATGCAAAATAAATTATTTTTATTTTGCATTTTTATTCAGAAACATCAGTCTCTGAACTCTATTTCACTTACACAAGACAAATATGCTTTTCTTTCATATTCAGATGTGAAAAACATAACATTTGTACTGCTCTTTCAAAATAGAAATGTCAAATCAAATAAACTGAATCAAGCATGTTCCATTCGGAAATCTATCTTGTATTATACAGCCATCACTTGCCCCTGCTCAGCTTACTGAGAAGCTCACACTACAAACTATGTTTGGCCTCACAGTTTATTAAGTGTGTTTTTAAGTCAAATACAGCATTTAACAGTCTACAGTAAATACTGACTAAACAAAAGCCTGGAGACAACATCAGATAGCGTGGTAAATGCTGGCAAGGGTCGACTGGAAATCAAATTTAAAGATACAATTAAATAAATGCCAAAAATACAAGTTTTTATCAGTTTTCAATTCATAGCAACTATAGCTAATTCAGGTGCCTCAGTAAGTTAAGCTACAAGAATTTAATTAGTTTAAAAAGAACTTTGTTATTATTTATGATTTGAATGATTACAAAAAAAATACTCGACAGTTCATTTACTTACATGTTTATTATCTTGAACAAAAAGTCAATTAATGTACTTGCAGCTGCATATTCTATTCTGCACCATAGATCTTTGAAAACATGAAGTGAGCCTTTTTTGAAAGAAAGGTTGAAATGTATCTGTTAAACTAAAACCTTAAAATCCCAACTCTTGCAATCCTGAAATCATGTAATTTTTAAATTATGTATAAACTTAACATTCAGTCTTAACATAAAACCTGTATCTGATGAAACTGCTGTGCAATTATTTCAGTTGCACTAAGCTGATTGCTTACATTGCAGTCTGCAGTTGGCTGAGGTGCAGGCAACTGTACCATGTACCTCCAGATGTGAGCTGTCTGGTCTCCAGATGCTGCACAAGGGGAAGAGGGGAAAAAAGAGAGGGGCAGATGCTAAATAAGAGCATTTCCATGGACAGTAAGAACAAGCTTTAACATTACATTTGGCAGTACTGTCTGAGTTGCATCTTTTTCTAACAGATATCATTATGACCTTTTTGGTAAGCAAGACTCAACACCAACAGTTACTTTCCTGGCTTCAATACTGATAAGAACATAACTCATTATGCAAAATATAAGTAGCTACCAAATTAATAATTTCTCCAGTGAAAACATCCACTTAACACTATACATCAGAACAGAAATATCACTGCTGTTCTAATAGTAACACTTGAAGAAGGCATTTAATACATCAACAAGTGCCATCCTTTATTTGCTGTTTCACAAAATACTGGGGTTCCTCCTCATTCAATGATTTCTTCCATTCAATGTTTTTAGTGTGGTTTCGATGAGAAACCCAAAGGAGCAAGTGTGAAGCTATTCTGCTTCTGCCTTAAGCAAGTCGGCTTAACTACCACCAGTTTACAGCTCAGCAGGTACCACTTGATTTTAGATTTTGTCTGTTTTTGAAAGAGACTCATCCATTATTAACTAAGGAAAACCATAAGATTCTCCTTGTTCTGGACAGAACAAACGTGCTCTAATACCTAGGGGTACGGTGTTGAGAATTCTAGATTGAGAAGAAAAAGTCTGTTACGAGTATGCACAGATCTAATAAGTATATGAAAGCACTAGGAAAAACATCTCATCTAACAGACCAAGTAAGATGCGTAGAAGAAAGGTCAACAATCTTGTATGACTTCTGGTGTCAGTATTCTGCACCAGGGAAGAAGGCTTTTTGTTTTAATTAATTGTAAATCAATCAAGTGACAGTGAAGAACAGGTCCCTAGAAAACTTTAAATGGAAATACTTTGCAGAACAACCTAACAATTTTGGTTGGTTTGGTTTTTCATAAGTCAGTTTACGTAGCAATATTGTTTACGGTACCGAAACACTGACTAAAGTTAGCATATGAAAACAGGAAAATCCAAACAGTTGAACTTCAACCACTCCTTAATTTCCTTTAAAGTAATCACTGTAGATGCAGAAAGAAGCAGTGTTTTAATTTCTAATCTCAAGAACTATCTTCATTTTACAACGATTTACCCAATAGCAACAAACTGAACCCAGATTTCTTTAATCCCAAAGCTAGTGCCCTAATTGCTGGACCATATGAACCACAGTATTAACCACATCAGACAGTTTTCAAACCTGAAGTTGTACTGATAATATTCTCAGTTCTGAAAACACTTTCACACTAACAGTCATATTTTTGAGCTCTTTTTTCTGCACACTCAATATTACAATATTCTTTTCCTTCTGGAAATATAATATAGTTCAAAAGGGCTAAGATGTATGATTCCAAGTGTCTGTTTTGGAGCAGGTAAGCACAAAAGACAGTATGAAACAGGTGGAAAGATTTATCTCTGACTTGTTATGCCCTGAAATATAAAAATAATTAAATCAACAAGGATGCTAGTGAATGACACCTATTTTTCCATTATGATTAACATACTTAGCATATGAAAAAACTTTACATACCTGTAAGAGCCACTTGCTCAGCTGGATGAAACTTTATGGAATTTACTGTATAAAATAAAGTAAAGTTTTAAACTAGTACACTAAAATAATTATTTCACACTGTTTTATCATTGAAAGCATTGAAAGAATGAAGACAACTTCAGTTTTAAATAATTTTTTGTACAACAAATTTCTTAGGTGAGATAAACCACTGTAGTATTTTATTGGAGTATATAAACCTACGTAGTATCAAGGAAACCAGCTACAGTTGATTATACAACCATACATATTTTCTAGCAAGCTATTTCCTGAATCTATTACAAGTGCTGCATGTTATAAAGGATAAACAAACCACATTCAAACAATCATGTATAAGCTGACAGGAGAAAATGCTCTGGACTTCCATAAAGAGAATTTAAGTATTCATAACTATTTCTAACATAATGAAAACTTACTATATATCACCATCAGCTTTCTGGTTATTGCTTAAGATTGCAAGAACAAATGCCCAAAAACCTAATGCAAAGAATACAAATTAGATTTCAGTCCTGCAACCATATATAATCAAAACATGGTTGTTTCAAAATAGCCTTGCAATAATTCTATCAGCCTACAAAGCTCTTTTTCATTTTTTATTTCAGTGCATAAGATTCAATTACCTTTCATTACTAAGCACTTTCACTTGCAAAATCCGTAAGCTTCTCCTCAACACTTCTTCAAGAAAGAACTTAAAAATCATTTCCATCCATCATACAAGTAAAATAGATGCCTGTGTTTTCAGGAGAATGTGGTGACTTAGTAATGAGTCTAAAAAGATACTCCTTAAATTGTTCACACTGAACTAACTGAACAGTGTAGCTTCCACTGGCACCAAACACCTTTGCTCCATTTAAAATCAACTGTCAAACATAAACAAGTAAAGGGAAGTTTTACTAAACAAAAAATATATCAACTGAAATGTTTGGTTTTCTCTCTTTTTTTTTTCACGTTTTACAAACCACTCTTTAAATATGGTTTAGTGCTTTTATTATTTTCATGGTTACCCAAATAGCAATTAAAAAAAAAAAAAAAAAATAACCAGCAGCATGTAAATGCAAGTCATTGGAGTTTTTAAACATGATTTTATGGAGACTAAAGGTACCCTCTCCATACAGCAAGCAACCTGAGATATCTGAACAAATCAAAGCATTACCTGTTGTTTCTATGCATCTGTCTATAGGGCATTAGTATCTTTGTGCTGCAGGCTCTAAAAGTCATGTAGCAGGAAAAAAAATGTAGAACTCATGGTTGAAGATGCTGACCGCTTAAGTTCTGGAGAAGTTAATTCTATCTGTATCTTTGCCACAAAGTTCATGCAGTGTGCTAGTTGAGTTACTTAACCAAACACACTGGGTCAGTAACTGCATTCCTCATTTTCCAGGTGGATGACTACACTCCAGAGTGTGATCACTCAAGGCACTGAACTCTCAACAGCAGTTAAAGCTATGGAAAATCCCTCCACCTTTGCTCTATAAACCCCTATATTGTTCCCCATTATGAGACAGAAAGGTGCTAATCAGGTGCTTGTCAAAAATTAACATCAAAAACACTTACTGCACTGCACCTCTCCACCCAAGGAGTAATTTAAAAACACTGTTTCTGAAATATTCGTAATGGTACAGAGGAAGCCAAATGCCAATGCGGAACTAACTGCCTTCAAAACAAGATTTTAATACTATGCAACACATCATACATGGGATCATACATTAAACAAAAGTAGTACAAATAGTCACCCAGCATCTGTATCTTGTATTCCAAAAAAACACAGATTCTGCAAAACAGCTAATTTCTGATTATACACCTTTCTCTTGTTCTGCATATGCATTAAGACAGACCTCAACTCATTTTGACATTTAACTTCTGAGTGTTGTAACTGTGCCTGTAAATTTCCTTATATGGACTTGTTTATTCATTTAGCATTTACACAACTGTCTTAATAGGCTTTTCCAAGGAAGAATCATATTACAAAACATTCTCTGTATGAAGATGAGTGGAACTTCACAATTGACTTGCTAATGGTGCTGGCAAATCTGCAAGCGAAACCGCAATAAACATTTTTGTAGTTGTCCAAAAAACATTTCCCCCTCCCAAACACAGTTTCCAGTTTTCATAACATGCCCTTATCTTACCTGATCCAACATGCCCTACATACTTGACAAGGCACTTCCCTGTTTCTATGCTCCACAGCAAAGCAGTGTGATCTACAAAGATTAAAAAGTAGCTGTAAATACTGTTACAAACGTACGTTTTTCACTTTTAATCAATTAAACAAACAAGTTATCTTCAAATGTAGAGAATACCATACAAAACAGATTTCAAATGCAGAACAGACCAAATCCTCTTGATTACTGCCTTATATATAAAATATAAAAGTTTTCTATCATTATAACTGAATATACATCTCCCAAAAAAAGTAAAGGTGCTGTCCCAATCAGATTCATGTGCAGAAAGTATGGAAAGGCAAACTCTCCTTTTGATATCTTCCCTAACTTGGTTATATACTTATGCATATAAGCTCCAACTGGGTATCATGAGGTTCAGAAAGAACACAGAAAGAGTTCAGAGGTGAAAAAGTCAGGCAGTCACTACGAGCAAGAGTTCTGTGAACACAGAAGTGCTAACCCTTCAGTTTATGAAGCAGAGGCTTCTGGTCCAGAAAGTGTCTCCAGATTCTGTTCCACTTCAAACTGACCAATTCCAACTGGTTATGGTTTGTTTCCCAAAACCACACAAGCCTCTACACTGATTTTTGGATCATAATAGATTTAGTGACTTACTCATTAGTACCTGCTCCCTCTCAAGTCAGAAGAAAGGAAATTAGTAAGGTAACAACTGAAAATTAAGATTTTTAGCTGCCCCTACATCCTCGAGCAAAAGCCTGATGACTCTAAGAACACAGGAACATGCAAACTCTGACTAAGTCTCTGGCTTCTATAAAACAAAGGCTAAACAACACTATGACAGAAAGTCTGTGGGGATCTCTGTATGTAGCCGTATAGCAATCTGTGCAAGAGACCTCTCCAAGCGAGCAGCTCCCCAACCTACCCATTCACACCATCCAACAGGCTAGAGCTGACTCCAGGGAGAGCGTGACCTGCGTGGAAGCTAACTGGCACATACTTCAAAAAGATCAACAAGGATGCCTGAACCTTCTAAAGGTTAAATGCATTTCAAGTTAAGAATTTTTCAGCTACTGAACTTCTTTATATCGACTCTTTCAGTGTGGAGCTCAGTGATGGAGCTAAGAATTCCAGTATGCTTTTGATCTACATTTACTATAGGTTAGGTACCATTTTCTAAAGATTCAAGCAACACAAAACTTTACCAGCAGATGCAGTTCCCAATACCACTGGTTGAGTTTTCGCGACACTGACATCCCAAATACCATCCCTGTGGCCAATATATTCCTTTACCAGTTGACAGATTGCCCTTGACGTTGTAGTTTTAAAACTGGATACAATCTGAAATAGCAGACAGAGCAACATTTTTTTTTTTTTTACACATTGACCCAAGATTAAGTAATTATCTCACAAATCCAGATAGATATTAACTTTTTCATAATGATTTGTCAGTGTTCTGACAGTTCACTATTGTGAAGAATTTGACATTTGATGGTTGGAAAGTGAGTCTGGATGCACAGGCACCTCAATTACTTTTTTTTTTTTCCCTTTTTTTAATAACCCACCCTTTTTACCAAAGGCAAGATAAACCATTGTGTACTACAATAGCACAATCTCCTTGAAGTAAGGAGTTCTAAAAGTGCAGTATGCACTTCCCATTCAATTTGGGTAAAGGATTATAATTTTTCAAACAAACAAAACAAACAAACAAATAATAATAAAAAAAACCCACAACAAAAAAAAAAAACTTCAAAACTTCCCTTGCCTATTCCCAAACAAGGATACATCTGGTAACTTAAAGATGATCCACGTTAACCACTTTAATGTCTTTGAAAAAAATGTACTACTTATTAGATAATTCTAGTAAAATTCAGAAACATTTCCATTTAAAACAGTCACTACTGGTTTTATTCAAAACTGCAAAAAGCTAATAAAATCAAACGTTAATCTGAGAGCATATGCCAATTTATTTGTATAATAAAGCATTTTTTAAGGGTATGTCAAACGTATCTAAACATTTGATAAGCACATTCCCTCAAAGTCAATGCTGTTAGAGGAAAACAGAGAAGCCTCATTAAATACAAACTAGTATGTACACTAGTAATACCAAATGAAAGGAAGAAAGTCTAGCAAAAATGGTAAAACTACAAGGCACTATAATACAAGAAGGCTGAAATGCTCAGTAAGTAACCGAATTGAAGAAATTATACCTTTTCAGATGAAAGAGGAGTGCAATACCTTTTATAAATAAAAAAGTTTCTCACCACAACACTTCCAGAGGCAACTGAAATCAAGACTGTTGAAAAACTACTTCAATAAGAGCAAAACCACTGTTAAAAATACTCTTTTTACCCTGCAAGTCTTGAAGCTCAAAACTCTGCTTTGAGAAAGACTGTCTGAAAAGCTTTGTTGAAAGTGAAGCAAAAAGAAGACTTCAGTTTATCAGTGTTTTCCTCTGCATCTAATTATTGCAGGTATCTATGTGACCAGTTAAGTCAAAACCTTTAAATCACATTTGAGACTTATCTACAGCTTAGTAAAAGTTAGAAAATTAATTAAGTCTACATTTCAGATACAACAAACCAAGGTTAAAATCCCATTAGTTTTTTTGTATCAAAAAGAAGGTCTTAAGTATGCCATTAAAGCAAATTACTTCTGACAAGGTTTTTAAAAGTTAGAGTATCTGCAAGAGCATTCTAAATCCTGAGCATGTCAACTTTCCAATGGTGAAATAATAACACCTATTTGAATTCCAAATTAGCAGGTAAGTTGCATTTTGGTTTCACAGTAGAAGGAACAATCATTAAGGTTTAATTGAAAAGAAAACAGGTTAATGGTAAAAATTATTAGTTCAACCATCTGCAGAGTTTCATAGGCTTTAAATACAATCCTACAGATGCAATTTTCACATTTAATATAGTCCTTAAACTAAATGGACTAAATGTATGAGAAGTGGAACAGCAGAATTAAGTAAACAGTTAAGGATTAATATAGTGCTCAGATCGAACTATGTTTGCATTCTGTCTTTCTAACGCTGAGTCAAATCCTCATGCAAAAGCTTCCAAGGAGAAATTATCACCTACTCATCAGCAAGCACAGAGTTTCCAAAACTGCTGGACAGAAGTTTCATTGATCATTTAATGGCAAGGCTGTAAAACTCCTTTTGGAGTATTAGCAGTCTTGAAGGAACACATGGAAGATAAGAATTCAAGAACACTAACACTAAATATCCAGGTACAGATTTATTTAACACACTCTTCCTCTACACTTTTTTTTTTTCCTTCTTTCTTTCATTTTTGCTGTCACTCATCTTCACATACCAGTAAGTGGATAAACTAGATAGTGCCTGGATTACTTCCTGGTTCCTTAATTATAAATATACAACTTTCCAGGAAAGGAAAGGAAATAACATGCAACTTGCTAAAAAAAGGCCTCTGCACTGCAAAAAGTTTTTAAAATAACTTCAGCAGATCTCAGATTATTACATACAGTAGGTGTCCTGGTTTGCTAGGATAGAGTTAATTTTCTTCTTAGTAGCTAGAATAGCTGTGTTTTAGTTTCAGTATGGGATTTGTTATGAAAAGAATGTTGATAAGATACTGTTATTAGTTGCTGCTGAAGCTCAAGGCCATCGTGTTTGGCTTTTCACAGCTGCATTAGGACTGCGGGGACAGGGGAAGTGTAGTAAATAGTAAAACCCAAAACTGGCATTGGATGTGTCAATGAAATATTCCATATCATGTCACGTCATGTTCCATATATTAACCAGGGCTGACCAGAAATTGGTGTTATTCTCTAGGGGATCACTCAGGCTCGCTCTTCTGGGGTTCCGGGACTGTCTCTGCTCCGGGACCACTGGCTGGCACGGGCCGGGCATCGGTCAGCAGCGGGTGAGCACTGTTTATCACTCATTTGTATAGTCTGTTATCACTGTTGTTATCATTATCATTTCATTTTAGTTAGTAAACAGTTTTTATCTCAACCCATGAGTGTCCTTGCCCTTTTCCTTCCAATTCCCTCCCCTGCTCCCTGGGTGGGGGAGGAGAGTGAGAGATCAACTGGGTTTGGCTGCAAACCAAAAGGATGAAACCACTTCAGTGGGCAAACATATTCTTGAGTCTGTTTCAGCTTTGTCTGTCCTCCTTCTTAAATCTTTATAGTTTCATGTACTTCCTCCTAAACAGATTAGTTAATAAGGAAACAATTGTTTGCCATGTAAGCAACTGAAAATTGCAAATTGAAATACCATGAAAACAATTGTATACCATGTAAACAATTCAAAACTGAATACAAATTGAAACAATTGCATGGCAAACAAATTGAAACACTCTGTAAAAACATCTCTTAAGCAGACAGGACACATTAGAACTAAGAATGAAAACTTGGTCAACTCAGGACCAGTCCAGCAGCATTACACTGTCTGATGAACGGAATTTCCTGTGAAGTAACATTAAGCAGTGAAGTAAAAAACTACAATTTCCAAAAACTTTTATTCCCTTCAACTGCTGGGTGATTCTTCCTTTAAGAGTCCTCCTCCTGATCCAAATGAATCAGAGATCCTGAAAGTTAGTTTATGATGGTTTAGTTTATGATAGTTTAGTTGTATAATTTATTTTAGGAATCTGCATATACTGTTTATGTTTTTCTGATGTCTTAACAACTGCCACAGCCAGGGATTGTTAAGATCAGCAATAACATCTTGTTAACACTGAAACATGAATTTCACATAGCGATTCCTGCACCTACAAACAACTGCAGTTAAACTACATAGTCTTGTCCATTAACTTCTACAAAAAAATGGTTTTAGACTACTAAGCATTAAATCTACTCCTTCTCTTCAGGATTTGGACACTGGTGGATAACCCCTGCTGCTAAAAGCATCCTTTTCTGCTATGAGTTGTGTCAACCTAATATTCAGACTCCTAACTTCGCTAAGGGATTAAAAGTATCCAGGTATGGGAATTTTCTATGAAGGACATGAATTAAGCATGTTTACTTCAGTGTTTTCCCCAAGAAAATGAACAGACTGCTTTTGTCTTAACATGTTTTAACAATATTAAAGCAGTCGTGGATCAGCTTTCTCATTAGAACAAGGAAATATTGAAAGGTCTTTTCAGAACAAACCTAAACTCTTTATAGGTTGCCAATCAGAAAAATGTAATCATGTGCAATTACACAAAACAACTGGTTTGTAAAACTGAAGTCTCTTCTAATTACCCACAGGGGACAAAAAAAAAATTAAAAAATACTCCTGACAAGTTTTAAATTAGGCATATAGTAACAGTATAAAGGATGATGGGCTGAGGAGCAAAGTTGTGATCCACTGTCCCACTGAGTTGGGAACACAACCCAATTTTTGGTGAACGGTATTGTTCATTCAATCCTCATTAAAAAATGTAAGAATTTCAAAGCTGCTGAACTCTTAAAACTCTTCCATTTTTTCCCAGGTAGTATGTTCGGGAACTCTAACTGCATCCAGATGGGATACAGACAGAAACATCAGAGTCTGTTAGTCTTTCCTGACTTTTGGGTATACTCTCTTTGTGGGTCAAGAGAGAGAACACTGCAGCTTTGACTCTTCTGTGTACGAAGGAAGAAGCAGTCGAAATGAAGCCACTCCCATGAAGTTCAGAAAGGTTTCAAAGAACACACTAGAGAGAGATGCTCTCAACTTTCTCATTCCCCTCAGCTCTCCTCTCTACCTCCCAGTAAATTCTGATTCAAAGCTGTGGAAAGAAATATATCAGCACATTCAGACATCTCTTGGTGATCGATTGATGTAATAGACATGTATGATGTCTATACTAAAGTATTAAATTCATGTTCTGCCTGCCTTGCCCAGGAAAGAATATGAGTGCTATATTGCAAGCAAATAAAAGAAGACAAGCATTTAACACACACACACACAAAAAAAAAAAAAAACCAACCCAAAACAACTACACTAGAGAAAGTATTAATTCTTAACTACATAGCACATAGCAGGTGTACTAATACTACATTGTCCCTATTAAGATGTTGTCTCTGTTTCAGTGGCCTCATTAAAGAATTTCCAAGTCACTAACTCTTAAGAAAAAAGAAGAGGCACCTCTAAGCACCAGATTGGCAAGAATAAAAAAGAAAGTTTGAGAAACAATAGAATAAAAAGGAGATCAAATAAAACACGGTAGCTCAGCTCTATTTCACCACACTATTCTTACTCTCAACCCTCAAACTTTCAGACTACTTAACAGATGGTATTTCTAAGACAACTACAGTCATTCCATAACCACACATTAGCCTGCAATACAGAGCAGCACAGAGCTGCTTATACAGTTGGTTCATGTCCCACTGTGGTTTCCTCACACTTCATTTATCCTTAATAATGTATCATGAAATGACCCTGATACAGGGCAAAAAGAGTGGCAAGTAAACTCTATAAAAACTGAAAAAAGGAGACAGAAAGAAGAAAACAAAAATACCAGACAGATGCAGGTGTGCAAAATTAAAAACATCAGAAAGGGTAACTGTGCTAAGAGACCAGACAAAAAATTATCACTAGCTACTAATTTCCCAGGCTTGCAATGTAATGGAATCAAACCATTCTAGTCTCATAGCTAAAAAATAATTTTTTAAATATGCAAAAACTATAATAGCACACATATAGATGCCTACTTAAATCCCCATTTCAACTGCAATACCCAAATCTTTATTCAGAAATTCACTACCTAATTGTTGTAAAACTGTCATACGGTGTGGTTGACATAATGGGCAATTGATGGAACCAAGATAAAGATACTGTTCTGCAAGAGGCAGGCTTAAAGAAGAGCACTACTCAACTTAAAGAAAACACAATCTACAACTTAAAGACAGCCATGTTAGTACACATTGATGAGTAGAGGTGTAATTTGTCTCATACCTTGCTAGTAGATGCCTTGTAAGTTGTCTTTAATTTCTGAGAAAGCTGACTGGTACTATGACTGGCTGTTGAGAGAAATAAATTCAAAGGAAGATATTTCAAATACAGTATTTAGCTTATTTGTATAAGTAACTGGTATTAATTCCCTTCAATAAGATTCTAAGTTTTGGCCAAAGTACACAAAAAGTACATTCAGAAATACTAGTTTAGGATTCTTTGTGGTTCTCTTACCTTTTGTTTTCAGTTGTCCTTTGCTCAGTTCAGCTCCATCAATTGTCTGTCCTTCACCTGCTAAACGCTCGTTCAGTGTATCAATCTCTCTGCGTACTAACAGTAACGAAAATTCACATTAATACTATAAACTGATTATCATTAACATCGTTAACATACTATTTAATAATTGTTATGTTTAGTAAGTAATTTATTTTATGCGAAGGACAGCAAAAGAGATCAACTGAGATTTTATAAAAGCAGGTCTCACCAAGACATAAACCAAGATTCGTGCTGAATTTTCCAGAGATCAACCAGATTCCAAAGAAAGTATTAGTGGCTTCTAACTACTGTTACTTTTACTAATAAATGTGGCTAAGGAATAACAAAACAGCTTCTGTGAAATAAAAAGCACACCTGTATTGCATTAAATCCAACAGAAATCAGAAAACCTGCAGCATCATAAATATTTTAGCCACAGAATTAATATGTAATTTCTTGACAAATATTTTATTAACCACAAAACAGCAGTCTCCCCTGAATGCCTGTCCACTGTTAGAGCTTCAGTAAGAAAGGCAGTGCAGCGAGTATATATTTTTATACTTTGAAAAAATTTAGAATGACATATATTTTACATTCAAGTCTTTTAGAAACACTAAATATGATCAAAATATTTTCATTACACATCAGACAAAGCATGTATTTGTAACAACAATATACTTTTCTGTTAATTAATTACACTCTTACCAGTGTCATTTAAACACAAGACAGAGTGTTGGCATAGCTAAAACAAATCAGTTACTCGTAAATGATTTCCAGTGGCTGGGCTGGTTTAAAGTTGCTCTATTTCATTTTACAAAGAACATTTTCAGCGGTTTATATTTTTTTTCTCAAAATCTGGGCTGATACCCTTTAAGTGTTCTCCTCGGGTGAAACCTTACTGAGAGGCTTTAACCAAGCACTTTTTCACTGTTTTTAAGAGTAAGTCTAGGTCTGTCTTTCCAGAAATTCTTAAGACTTTTTTTAAAAAAAGTCATTTACTCCCAGGCTTTGAAATGTGGGAGAACATGACCCATCAGGAGTGGGATTCTTGCCATTTCTGAGAAATTCACTGAAGTCTCAGTTCTAAGCACTAGAAAAGTCAGTTTACACTTCCATACCACATCCAAGTGCTTGAAATGAGCAAAGCAAGAATCTCCCTTCTGTGTTCCCAGTCATACAAACCTAAAGTTATATAAAACACAGACAACATGAAAGAGAAGTAAACAAAGAGACAGGCTTCTAGTAACAGATGACTGAAACAGACAAGCCAGGCAGATCCAAGGACTGCCTGAAAGGATTAAGATTGAAGCATGAAAGGGATAAGAAAAGGAAGAAACTAGAAATAAGTTGTAATAAGGGAAAATGAGCGTATAAAAAGCCAGAGAGGAAAAACTTGAGATTCCCTATGTACAGTAACCACAACATTAATGTGGGAATTAGACCAAGAAGAAAAAATAACAGACTGAGTATCAGAAGAGAAAAATTTAGAAATTGTCAGGGAGGTGGAAAGAGATCATGAAGGTCAGGAGTGAACTAGAACTGTGAGGTGAGGAAGATGCAGAGAAAGAGAAATGGAATGGTAGGAAAATAATCATACACTGGAGGGTACAGACAAATTCACCACTTGTTTTCTGACAAACATTTTTGAAGTGTGGGGCAGGGGGAGGAATTCTAACTTTTCTTGCTACCAGCCAACTTCTCAGCAGGAGGCCGAGAACACAGTTGTGCAAATTGTCACTAAAAAATGTGCAGTGTTGATGGCAGCCTTTAACCAACTCAGATTTTAAGAGCATAAAAAGCCAGCACATTTTCAAAAAGCACTCAAGAATGTGTGGTGGGTTTTTTGGTTTTGTTTCTGTTTTTTAACATGAGTGTTCTGTTTAACTCTAGGAACAGATTAGGTGTGGAAAAAAAATTTGACTTGGAGCCAAACCAGAGAGACTACACAATTCAGAAGCCACACCACGCAACACAGCTTCCAAAATCCTACAAGGAAAATTGAGCAGAGGCTTTACTCCATGACTGCCTGCGTTATTTATTTTGCATCCTCTTACATCACCTTGGATCACTTACATTAACATTTGACTGCACTGTCATTAAAAAATAACTTCTTTTTTTTTTTCCCCAGATATACCTGGAATTTTTAGCTGAGTGCTTGACTTCAAAATTCATGAACAGTTTCAGGTGTTGGTTATGTAATGTACTAAGCAGTATGATCCAAAACCACCACATTTTACACTTTTTCAAGTAAGACACTTTTCCAATTTTACTTACTAACATTACATCATTAAATGTATATACGAAGTCACCAACTTCAATGGTTGAAAGGAGTTACTGCCAGATTAACATGGAATATACCAGAGCCTACAACGACAAGAAGACAACCACTCCACTTTCCTTGCCCAAAATTCAAGGAAGACAACACACATCAGTTCTCATTACTTGTGTCAAAGAGTTAAGAAGTGATTATTCTGAAAACGTACAAACCCCATCTTTGGCTGCAAGTTCAAAACAATTCTTAAACTCCTCACTGAAAAGCTATAATAATTACACTACAGTACCCAAAGTAAGCATCCCAATTAGCACTACTATATCTGAAACCCAAACAATTCAGAAGTCACTGGGAAAAAAAAAAAACAACTTACATTCCAAATTTTCAATATACAAGTTCTCAAACTCCCGTTCTATTTGTCCAAAAAGTTCAAGGAGCGTATTCCGGACAGAAGATGGTAGCTTAGAATCCTAGAAGGCAAAATATTTGTGTTTATATTTTTCTTTACATAAAATATATGTAGTTACTCTTCAGTCTTAAACTGATTTTAACAGTTCTCTTTGTCTTGCAGCAAGGAGGGAAATTAAAACTATTGTTAGTGTAAAACACAAACTAAAAAGGTCTGTGAATCATAAAATTATTCATTTTACATACAGACAGAATTAAAATCAACTGTGGGGTTTTTTTTTGTTTTTACTAGAGATAAATTATAAAACCAAGATACATGTACAACTCATTAAAGAAAAAAGGTGAAAAAAGATATAATACAATGTCAAGGTGAAAAGAAAGTTCAAGAAGAAAGAATATCTTTGGTTGACAAAGTAATTCAGAAGTTGACATCACAAAGGACTTTATTACCAAAGCTTGAGGCAAATTAACTTTTTAAACATATTTTCAACATCTACCTACTTTTGTCACTAACCACATCTAAGTGTGAAGGAACCTGCAACTTCTAATCCTTCCCTCCCCACAAATTATTTAAGCATCTCCTCTTCACAGAAAGTATTTTGCATTAAATTGACAGAGGGCTGCTTTTTTCCTTCAGCATAATCAACGCAGCAATACTGAGGCACAAAAACAAGTATGCAATAAAACCACTAACAGGGGATTTATATGATCTGAGCTCAATACACAGCTTAACTACAAGTTTCTGTTGGCAAGTTATTTAAATTTTATTAATCTGTCTACAAAACAGAGATCAGCACCATATTTTCTGGGAACAAATACATATCATATCCAAAACAAGTGAGTAGAGATTTCTGCTGGGAGTCAAGGTTCTCACTGTATCAATGATTCTATTATCAAACACTGTTGAGTAGACAGTGGGTAAAGCAGAAGACAACTGATTGCAGTACATTGTGAGAATCTAGTACTAACAAACTTCTTAAAATATAAAACACAGCATGCTATTAAAAAATGGCAAATTAGAAAGTAGAAAATATGGTCATTAGTATAAACAACTAATCCACTCTAAATATGGATTAAAGGATGAACCATCCTTGCTCACTACGTAAACTAATTCTACTAAACTTGTTCTATTCTTCAGTTGCTGGTGGACCCCAGTAAGTAAGTTGGCTAACTGCACCTATTATTTATCTAAGTAGAAAGCTATAAAATTTTTTTAAAAGAAGTTTCCACTTAATTGAGCCTTACCCTAACAATGAAAAAGCTCAACTACTCCTTTTTAGTATATCTAACCCATCATCTCAGAATTCAGTATTATTACTGGACAAACCTGTAAATAATGCAGCCGTATTCAAAAATGGAGAAATATCCATGCAAGGAAACAAGTTACCAAACTTTAAAGTGAAATTAATATGGTATCATGTATGCCATATTATTAATACATCAATGTTCATCTCTCAAATATACAGGGAAGGTGCCCATCAGCAACAGCTACTTTTTTTTTAACAAAGCAAAAGTATGGAATTTCAAAATCTGGAAATCATCAGCTATGAGCAAAGACAGAAAATTGAGTCAGCTTCTGCCACAGCACAAACCACTATTTCAGGTCCAGAAGTACAGAAGAAGCATTACTAGAACTGGAGTACAAACGTTAGCACAGGACACCACTCAAATTCGAGTGAACTTAATTATTCAGTGCAAGTTTAAGGATGAATATAGCTTGGTTTGTTCTTAAGTGTTCCAAATCAAAACCCAAACCAAAAGAAATTGGTTCCATCCCCATAAACTGGCTGAATAAAGCAGCAGCATGTGTGTAACAGCCATCAGAGGGCAGCATGCGCCTTCCACCGAGCCACCACCTAAACAACCAGAATTTCATCTCACTCACGTTTTGGTTCGTACTGGCAAGACGATTGTCTTCAGAAACAACTAGAAACCCCGATTTTATAATTTATTTCTGAACATCAGTTTTAAAAAGAAGAGCAAGAGAAACCACTGATAGCCATGACATCTGCTGTGTGCATAGTTCAGTTTTACAGCAGTTTCACAGCTCCTTTAAGCTGTGGCACTGTGCTGAAAGAGGCACTGCGCTGAAAGAAGTGGTCTTATGCTCCTTATGCCCTCCGAGGATATTCCTTTCTGAATCCTCCCCCCGGACTGAATGCATGACTTTTGTTCATGCATTCACAGTCAACCAGAACATGCAACAGATCCCTATTAAAATAAATTTAAAATAAAATTGATTAAACAAGAATACTATACAAATGACACACTATTAAGAGAAACACTGAAGTCAGAAGAATTATTTCTGATTCAATTACCCAATAATTCCATACAGCAAGGAACTGAAAAGAAACTAAGCTATTCTACAACTCTGAAAACAGGAAAGGAAAAGTAGGAAAGGTTTTCAATCCACTTCTCCTGAAAGTGCCTGAAAGCATATGCAAATCTAAACCAGTCCTAAAGTAACCAGCATACTGAAATGCATCCACTTCCTTTACTCTTTTTAAAGTCGTCATTATTTAAATTTGCTTATTAAAATACTATGTAATAATGTTATCTGTTTATGTGCAAAAGTATTTATTTTAACACACTCCACTGTGAAGGGGCATTAATACTCACTATTCATTAGAAACTGCCACTGGCTCTTCAAGGTTACAGGTCAACAAAAATAAGTAAGATTACATACAAAACATTTACAATATTTATATATTACAGCATAATACACCTACAGAGTTTGATAAGAAATACTAAAACAGCTTAAAATTTTGGTGTACTACACAGAAGTGACAGCATGCCTTGACCTCCCAGCTGCCCTTCACTCCTTTCCTGAAGTAAGGCTGTAATAGTCCAAATGCACCAACAGTTTTCTATCCAAGTACTTACATTCTCCAACCCCTAGATGACTGGAAGCAACAACTTGGGCTCTGTTAGTTACCACAAAGCTAATGCTCTAATTTACTGAATAACTGATTCAATTAAAAAAAAATATGTCCCAACACTGAGAAAACAGAAGGTTTTCCCCTCAGAGTACCTGCAGAGTCCAGAAAGTGACGTTTCTCGTAGCCAAACGCTTCGTATTTCAAACCACCTCTCTGACAAAAATCAAGTTTTGCATCATCTCTGCCAGGCCTGCATTAACATTGCACAGTCCATTTCACAATAAAGAGTTTTCAAACTGGCATTTGCTTAGCTTTGGCAGCACCACTTTAAATGCTTTCTATAGGAGCCTTACCTACAGTTAATCTCAATATTGTCAGGTGAAACTCTAATTTAAGTTAGCTCACGCCTCTGTCAAGCAGGCAATACTTGATTGCTTTCTGGAAAGGAATGCAGAACAGCATTCCCACTGATAACTTCCCTATCAGAGGCACAATAACAAATATTTTGGTTTATTCATATTCCAAATTCAAACTTATGAAATCAAGAACCACTCTTCAACTTTAAGGGGGCAGGGACGGGAAGTGCAGCGAAATAAAATGGCTGCTTCTTTGAATTTCTTCATGGGTTTTTTGTGCATTCATGTAAGAATATACAAAAGCCAATAAAAAGCTCCACGTGTCTGAATGAAACACTCTCAACATCCACATCAATAGTCTCCAAAGACAGTCAGCACTTCAAAACAATAAACTCTGCTGTTCCTGCCACTTTACTGGACATATTTAATTAAAGTTCATTTAATTTCTTTGCATAGAAAACACTCCTCATAAAAAAAAAAAAAAAAAAAATGGCAGAAGTTACCCAAGCAGCAGTGTATGATCTTACCTGCCCTTCCAACATGTCTCTCTGCAGTCCTGCCCGGTCCTGCTCGGAACTGTTGGTTCTCCGGATGGAAAGACTGTGCGATTTACGTTTCTGCTTTGCTTGGCGAGCAGATGCACAACTTCCACTTTCTATTGGCATTACTTCAAAACAGCTTCACAGAGGCTCCTATGGTAAACTAGGGACAAGAGCTACACATTACAAATTGAATTCTCAAAATGAAAATATTTCATTCTAATAAATTTCTGAGTTGTTTGGGGTATCATTAAAAAGAAGGGATCCTTATTACTTACAGCTATCCTTCAAACAACATTAAATTCAAAAACACATATACATAAATAAAGTGCAATCACTTTAGCCTTACTTACTCATTAGCTATTAACCTCCACAAGAGGAAAATATACCTCACTACCTTGCTCATTTTGGAGAACACAAGCAGAGACAGCCCCAAAATGCTTCCAGGAAACAACTGTTATGCATACTATATATCACTGAAATGCATGCAAAATTAAAACCCAGCTGGAAAATGAAAGCAAACAGACATGATAATTTAGGGATACTGTCAGGTTAAAAATGTATTACACAACATTAAGTGTTAGCATACAAAATTTAACAGATATGCTTGTTTACACATAAGCAGAATATAATTTTAATTACAGAAAAGTACTTGCCACCATTTTTGACAGCTCACAGTTTCACTTTCTTGCTCATGAACTTACAAGAAGAGTGCAAATGCACCTGACCTACCAGGTTGTTGCTGTTGTTAATTTTTGTCAGCTTGTTAAAGCCAAATACACATTTTAATATCCTTAAAAACACCTGACAGTATCACCAATTAATATTACCATGTATGATCTACTGCTTTCCTCTGTTTAAGAATAATCAAATTATGTTTGATTCCTTGCATAAATGTGGAGAATATGTTCTTTACTGTCAAAATCTTACTTTTTACAAGCATTTAATTACTGGATTTTTTAAAATTAAACCTGATATTCGACAGAAATTATTTTTAGTTTCATGGGGTACCAGTTGTAAAACATTTCAAATGTTTTAAGATTGATTACTCAAAATTTTTCAATCATGAACATTGAAAACAAAATAAAAATTCATTCTCCAGCATAAATGATTTCTGAAACAACAATTACAACTTAAAATAGCTGCAATAGTCTGCAGAGAAATAGGAGAGCAGAGTTGGCAAAGCTAACAAGGCAACTGAGCTTCCTTTTAATTAAGTTGATCAGAGAAAATTTAAACCAAACCCAGGGCCACTTCCATTTTAAGATCCGCCAACACACTAGATCTCAAGCTAGGAATGAGCACCATCACTATTAACAAGACCAGGCAGTAACAGTTCGGTGGTTCTGACATGGTATTTTCAGCTTTTTAACATATCATAAAGCCAAGGAAAAGCATACCTTACTGAAAAAACAGTATGTGCCAGGAACAAAAACAGCTTTAAATTTGCTTTGGTTTTTATTTAACAAAATGAAAATAAAGTTATTCAAATTTATATCAAAATGAGACAAGATTTAGTTAAGGTTTTGATGCTCATCCATCCTCAAATTTCTCATTTAAAAACTTGGTATTTTAATTAGCTTTTGGAACACCCAAACTCAAGTAACTTGACACCAATTCCACAGCGAATCTAAAATAAAATTCAGGTTGCACCACTATCTTGTAGGGCACTGAGATTATTTCATTAATTTCCTCTGGACTCTGCGCAGTCCTCCCTTGCACCTAATCCCATTAGAGCTTTTTATGTGTGATTAATCTGTAGTAACTAATTAGCTATGCTCACAAATTAAAGAAGAAAGAAGAGAAAGAGCTACAGTTGGGTAGTTTCTTATTTGATTAGACTTCTTTTTTCACTGTGGCTATATTCCTCTGCCATAGAAAGATGGGACTGAAATTTTAAAAAGCCCATCCCATAAACAAGTTCTTGCCAATTTTCTGGGCTTCACTAAGTGTCTTCCTCTTCCTGGACATATGGTCAACAATCAGGAACAGGTTTTCAGTGCACATCACATTTCTGTTTCTTTTCAAAATATGATCAGATCCCAAACACATGTATATGCTCCTCTCTTCCACCCTCCTCCTATCTGCCTTGGGAACCACTCTTTCAGTGCCTTCAGTTTACTGATTTCTGCAGTGTTCTGGTTATTTTTTAAGGCCCAAAGCACCAAACTCTGTGTGCACACACAAAAATGTTAAAGTTTTATATCTACACATACACAGTTACATATAATCACATAAATCAGTTAAGACCATTTAAGATCTGTGACCAAAAAAATGGAATTTTATAATTCCTGAGCTGTAGTTATACACAGAGATATTAATATGGCTCATGCCTGACTGGGTGTTGTTCTACCTGCGTTAACTTCCATTTTCCCTTTGCTGCCAAGCTGCTCCATTTTAGAGGATTTTACCAAGAAACACCCTTTTCTGGAGTGCTTCATAGAATCATAGAATGGTTTGGGTTGGAAGGGACCTTAAGGATCATCTAGTTCCAACCCCCCTGCAGTGAGCGGGGACATCTTCAACCAGATCAGGCCGCTCAGAGCCCCATCCAACCTGACCTTGAATGTTTCCAGGGATGAGGCTTCTACTACCTTTCCAGGCAACTTGTTCCAGTGTTTCACCACCCTCATTTTAAAAAATTTCTTCCTTATATCTAATCTAAATGTACCCTCTTTTAGTTTACAACCAATACCCTTCGTCCTGTCACTACAGGCCCTGATAGAAAGTTTCTCTCCATCTATTTTATAAGCCCCCTTTATGTATTGAAAGGCCACAAGGTTTCCCCAGAGACTCCTATTTTCCAAGCTAAACAACCTCAACTCAGTATTTCTTCACAGGAGAGGTATTCCAGCCCTCTGATCATTTTTGTGGCCCTCCTCTGGACCCACTCTAACAGGCTCATGTCTTTCTTGTACCACTGGCTATGACCAGACACAACTGGCTTTCTGGGCTGCAAGCACACATCGCTGCCTCATCCCCGATCTTTCATCCCCCACTGTCTCCAAGTCCTTCTCTGCAGGGCTGTTCCCAATCCATTCATCCTCCAGTCAGTACTGATATCAGGGGCTGCCCCAAACCAACGTGCATGACCTTGCACTTGGTCTTGCTGAACTTCATGAGGTTCACCTGGGCCCGCTCCTCAAGCCTGTCAAGGTCCCTCTGGATGGTGTCCCTTCCCTCCAGCGAATCCACTGCACCACTCAGTATTAGTTCATACAGATTTAGCAGCTATACATTCCAGCACGTAGGATTTAAAGGGACACGGTCAAACGCATGAGATTACATTTTTACACAGTGAAATTCTCACGTCAACTACACAGAAGTTTCTACTTCCAGAGTTCGTAAGCAAACAGCAAAGATGAGGTAAGAAACACCTCCAGTACTGTATCTATTTGGTAGCAGCACTTCACCTGCAGCCCGTGTCAGGGACAGTGACCGCACTCTCCTCATGCACCAGCATGACCACGTACATCACTCATGCACCGTTCCAGAGGGGGCAAGCATGCAGGCTCCCCCCAGGCTCTGCAGGAGGGGGCACACAGCCACAGCCAAGCTGCAACCAAAGCGGCAACGAGCAGGCAAGTGCAGACAGAGGACAGCAAGGAGAAGCCCAAGGGGACTAGCCTCACTGCCTTTCATATTATTCTGAATTCCACCAAATAGCCTTATAAACTTCCAGTAAGGGAAAAGTAATTAAAGAGTTTTTAGAACCAGAATGTAAATTTGGTTTTAAAAGGTGACAGTGTCCCTTTAAATGTTAACTTCGCTTGGACAATTTCAGAACTATTCTTATGCTAATTGCAACAGCAAGAAGCTATAGGTTTTTCAAGAATAGATTTCACAAAACAGATCCTTGGCAATATGATGCTAAAAAAAAAAATAGTAATAACAAGGTGCTCATTTCTAGCAGTTACCTGATTCCCCTTATTATGTAAGGTTTTCAAGCAATGGAAATTACCTGTCCAGAATATCAGTGTCATGTTACATATCCTATGAAAACCATATTAAATATTGATTAGTGAAACAGGCAGCAGTACACAAACCAGTCAAAGTCTTTCACATTTTTGAAACTTTTGTAGTTAGAACACACCAGACAACAGGAAGGGGGGTGAGGGAAAACATCAACACAAGTCAAGGCTAAGCACCACATCCCACAGACGTAAGAAAAAAAGGCTTCAAAACGACTCATTATATATTGCTAGTCAGATGTAGTTAATCATAACCTTTGACTGTTACAAATGGGTTCTGAAAAGGTAAATTCACTTTCCTTCTACCTGGTAATTCTACAAGTAGGATGAAAAATCATCAAGAAGTGTGGGACTCTCATTTCCGGAACCAAATGAAGTTCACAAAAGCTAAAAATTAGCAATCCAGAGTCAAAAAAGCTGAACAAATGTACTTGGGGGGGGGAGGCAAAAAACAAACACAAACAGAAAAGGGGGAAGAGTGTTGTTTTAGTAAACTGTATTCCATAAGGGCAGCAGTTCACAAGTACTGGATCATTAAAAACTGAGCTTATGAGATATATTGAGCTTTCTGTTCAATCGTTTTGGAAAATGCTGCGTTTGCAGAGTGTTCTTCAAACAATGAACTGTCAAAGCCTCAAGAGAACAGTACCAAATTAATTATTTCTGACAAAGTCAATCAGCAGAAGTAGGGGAGAAAAACGTGTCCTAGAAAACATCTAGGCCATAGGTGATTACTACTTTCTGAATGCAAAGATACTTTGGTATTTCAGTTATGCTATTTAATTAAACTCAGAGCATATTTTACAGTGTGTTAAAATAAAGTTCTAGCACCTACCCTTCTGTAACAGATGTTACCATGTATTCAATCACAGGAAATACTTCATCAGAGTAACAGTAAAGAGCAGATGTGTAACCAATTACTGGTTTATTCAGCTACAATGGAGAAATGGCACCAAAAGTGCACACACACTGGTCTTACTAGACTTAAAAATTCACTGCAGCCATCAAACAGTTCTACTTGCCTACTTCTACTCTTGAACACGGAACAAGCAGACTGCTGAAAGGAAAGAATTCCTGGAGTATGCATGCTGCTGAAGCCAAGAGGCAAATCTGTTTTAAGAAGTGTCAGAGCACAGACAGAACGGCTACAGTATT